CCCCCCCCCCCCCAATTGTCTTAGGAAAGTACACGTACACCTCTTCGGAAAGTACCAAGTACACCTCCTGAGTAGTCTATTCACCTGGATAGCCTCAGAAGACAAAGTGGAGAAATATACCCTTACCTGTTCGTGAGTACCCGTTATTATTGTAGTTGATGTTGGATCAAGTTTGCTGCCTGTAAAGGAAGAGTAAACTATAAAATCTTTACAATTGAGCATGGCAAATGGCTGCCGGTGTTTGAGAACTGTTGATATTAAACTCACACACACACACACACACACACACACACACACACTAGTATACAACCATGGCGGAACTGCAGGTTGTCATATAAATATGCAAAAGGTATCTGATTTCATCTCTGTTGATGTTACATATACCTAGTGACGTCAGTGTAGACTGAAAATGTCAGATTGACACTGCAACATTTCTAGTATCTTAAATCGATTTTTTTTTTTTTTTTTTTTTTGGTGATAAAAAAGGCCTTAACAAACCAATCAATTTTACAAACTGACGGACTTTCCCCCAATAAATACTATTATTACTGGTTGGCCACTACTATCTTTCATCCACACCCTTGGTATATAAAAAAGAAAAGTTCGTTATTTTAAATAACAAAATGCAATGTTGTTGATTCATCTGATTTGACGAATTGTTGTTTATCAGAATAAAGTAACTTACGTTTTGCAGAATGTTTTAAAAATTGTGGGTTAGGGTCTCCAATCCGGCGTTTTCCTAGAAAATATAATAAGAAATGCATTTAAGTTTGTTTTCATGTTGAATACATCGTGCAAACTCGTAAAACACAAATGATATTTATATACAAATGTTGTACAATATTTTTTGAAACTATCACTGTACTTCCCACCCCGCCCTTTACTAACAAAATAATAAAATGTTGTATTAATTATGTTTGAACATACGTGAAAAAACATTATATTTAATCCCATCTTCTCTTCACTACTCATAAAATTTTATACGAATATTACGGCTTGTGATAAAGACGATTGTATTTGAATACGATTTGAATATTTGTAATTTTTCTAGTCTTACCACGTCTAGTCCTTGGATCTGAGTTTCCAGATTTTTGGCCACTTGTGGAGGTTGAGGGTGCTGGAGAATCCTTGTCAGACAGAGTAGAAGATCTGCTTCGAGATCCTGATTTGGAGGAAAGTATTGTTAAGAAATTATATTTGCACAACTGTACATCAGTATCACTATTACAGAAACCGTACTTTGATAAATATTCTGGCATAGATACAATGTGCAAACAATATTTATTTATTTTCTAAATCTTACTTCTTTTAGCCCTCTTCTTGCGGTGACGTCTAGTTTTCTGGTCACTTCTGGAAGTTGAGGGTGCTGGGGAGTCGTCGCTGTCAGACTGGGAAGACGATCTGCTTCGAGAACCTGATTTGGGGGGGGAAATAAACTGTTTATACACGTGCATATCTACTGTAATATCACAAGGACAGATGTTCTATATTAATTGGAAAGTGGTATTCAAGCAAGTGCAAGTAATTGCTTCCTGGAAAAGATTAAGTAAAATGGGTGATGATCAAGAAGTCATGAAATATATAAATGATTGACATGGTCATAAAAATCACAGCAGCAAAGGTGTCAAATGGACAGACTTATAATTTAAGAACCTTACTGATTTAGTGGCATTAGTACATGCAGTGAACAGCCAATTTAACTTTAAAGTGTAAAGAATATATTTTGTCATGTATGATGTAATACATACATGTAGCTTAAAATACAATATATTGGTTCTTAAGTATGCACTATTACTGTGTAAATTTCAAAATTTTAAAACAAGAAAAAGGCCTTGGACCAGTTGAAATTCAAAGTCAGACGTTGGAAAAAAGTCCATGTCTAAATAATGCATTACTTAAAATTGACATGACGTTTTCTCGCCATCAACAAGTCACAGTAAAGGTACTCCATAGTAAATACACGACCTTGGACTGACCGATGTCGAAATCGCCCAAACTTGGGCTGGAGAAGAAACGCGCGGCTGTCCAACGCTCTCTTGTGGTCTGAATGATTAAATACAATAAACCAGTCGAGTTTGAAGGAATGAGCGTCGTTTATGTAAAAAATATCCGAACGAGTCAACCATTGTATCAACTCCCTTTGAGTAAGGGTGAAACCTACATCGTGCCTCATACCTTTTGCTTTTTATCACCATTGCACAACAGGCAACGACAACAATGGAACTAGAAAATTTTGGGTCGTAGATTTTTTCCGCTTCTTCTACAGTGTATATCTCTTGAAATGTACGTTTCATAGAAGAAATATATTCCACTCTTTTTGCCAAATTTGACTGGTGAATAATTGAATACATTAATGTTACATTGATACGCCCGTAACGTTATGCAGATATAATGCAGAAATAAACTGGAGATACAGTGCCATCACATTAAAAATAATCCGAGTGAATTTCCTAATCACCAAAAACCAATAAAGAGGTGCAAATGAAGTCACAGGCATGCTCTAAAGAATATTTAGCGCACAGATTGCAAACTCTGTTTGCTTATTTTAGGGTCCCACATTAAGAAGTTTGTATCAAAGTTTCACTCTCCTAGAAACAAGAATAATAAAAAAAATTAATCGTCTAGCTCCAAATTAGGAACATACTGTACGTTACTGTCACAATGCAAAACGTTCATCTGTAGAAGGTTTAATCACTTTGAAAAAATTCAATCGTCACTGGTTTTGTTTTAGATTTTATATCCCCTACAAGTACCGGTATAACGTTGTAAAAATTGCAATACTCTTCTTTATAGAGCAGTTTTAAAATTGTTTTTAAACGACTCTAATTGGTTGTTACTGAATATAGAAAACGAGGAAATATACTATATACAACAATACAATAAGCTTTAAATAAATTTTTGTTCACTCGTAATCCACAACAAACTTTCATGGAATCACAGTACACGTTTCGGTCAACAACAGAAAACAATGTTTTCTATGGCACCAATAATGAAACTTTCTGACAATTTTCTGGGGAACATACATCACGTAGTATTAGTCACGACGCAAAGCCCATTGAGTTACAGTTAAGATAATTATAAAAAAAAACAACCTTACGTCATGAATAATTTACCATGACTGAATCACTACAAAATATATCGGAAAGCAGTATAAAAATTAAAATTAATTGACCAGGAACGTCACTTTACCAGAACATATGTTACCATTTAGGTCTCTTTATATAATGTAAAAGAGTGGTAGTATATAAAAATTAAATAAAAACTGAGACAGTCGTAGATTTTTGTTCTTTACACATATGTGTTTTTAACTGCACTCAATTTTAGTTTTGGGCACTTCAGCATGTTTTAACAATTTAAAAATGCACATCCACATTGGGTTTGGGTGTAATTCGAGATGATGACAGGTTTGTGTTGACTTGTTTTATTTACAACAGATATCACTTTGTTGAAGTACGGCACAAACCGATCACTATCTTACATCAATTAAAAAAGCATTTTGAAAATTGAAGATAAACGGGAAAGAGGTTAGAAGCAGAGGAGGTGAAGAATACCGCGAAAAGTGGAATGTGTGCTCCAAAAATGTTTAATTTCATTGCGCTGATGTACACCTAATTATTCTACATAAAATAAACAGGGATAGATAGCTTGACCAATTTAGGACATAAACACATGTGGACCTCCCTGCAGAGAGTAGAAGAACCGGCTGCCTGGTGAAACCTTAATCACCAGATATATGTTCTACTTAAGCCTAGATTACATTTACACGGGCGCCGTGCGATGAAATTGTCCGTACGATTTTTTTTTTTTTTTTTTTTTTTGTTATTGAAAGGAGCTACGGGCTACATCGAGCATGTCTACATAACATGGTGTTAAATCTGTATGATTCCGATTTCGCACGGCCACCGTCTACCTCCGCTCAGACACTGTACGAAAAGGCTATTACAGGCAGTATACGTGCACCGTACGGGAATCGAATTTCAAATGTAGGCCCTAATCTAGGCTTTAGTTATAATCGTATACCTATGTAATTTTTATCATTTCTTGGAAAAACTCATACTTCACATAGGCTTGTACCAAAATATAAATGACACTGATATGTCTTTATAATAAAGTCAATCTATATACAGTAGTTAAGTCACTTAAAATGGTATGGTTTTAGAAACCATAACTCGTGTCAGTCCGCAGTAGACATGATACATCTCCATACATTTATACATCATTTTTTAAACCTGACATTTATTTTAGTATATTACCTGGACTTATCCGAAGTGCTGATGCATCTTGAATCCTGTCATATATCACCTGAACCATTTCGTGAGTGCCTGTAAACAAAACACAAATTCACAGTTCTCAAACTTAAGTATTAGAATTCAATTGAGGATTTTAAGAGTTGCGTTTCTTTTTCACCTGCAGCATTACCAGTATGTTGATAAAAATACCACTACAGTCAGCCTAATAATTCTCTCAAGAATTTTGGTAAAGAAAATGCAAATATATATCAAACTTAAGTATGAAAATTCAATAGAGAATTCTAAGAATAAAAATTGGAAATTGTTTTTATCTTCAGCCTAATGCTGCTGCCTCTATCATTATATGCACCTTATTCACACCAAGAAAATGTTTGAAATAAAGTTGCTCCTGAACCAAAATGTGATTCACGAAGGCATTTGTTCATCATTGAATTTTATGGGAGAAAGTATTTACCTTTGATCATACCACCATACTCCATCATCCACTCTTTCACTTCTTTCATAGCAGCTTTATAATGCTCAGCGCCAAGAGGTTCTCGCAAGATGGCGTCGTATTCCTCACCACTGTATCTGCCAGAGAGAGCCAGGAGACTGGACTTGAGACCTGAGAATTTTTCTCGAAAAACATCCAAGCTGATTGCTGTCTCTTTTAAATGTGCATAATTATGATTTCGATATCTTTTAACTCGACCAATCTCGGCTTCTTTCGATGTATCGCTGTCAGAGGGGTTGTCCCATGCTTTGGACTTAGTCCTCAGTGTTGTGATGTTCCTCAACAAAAACACAGTCAGTGTGATGTCCAAATCACCAACAGTTACTGATGTGGAGGGATTCCCAGAAGGATACAATTGGTCTTTTTGCTGCTTATTAAATACTGACAATCTATACAGTTTTTTCTTGATATTACCATAACCAAGCACCCCACATAACAGCCCCGTGTTGGGGTCAAATATATAGGGGTACTTTCTTGTCAGCTCTTCCTGAAGAACATGTTGCAAGACCGACAGGGCACGATCAACAATTAAAATGCACAAACGGAAAAAATTCTCCTGGTCGGAGCCGTTGTATGACTCTATTGCTGTTGCCATGGTACTGGTATCTGTCACTTCTATGTCTTTCTCTGCCTTCTCTGAAATTGAATATAAAATGGAAATTCAGTGCATCAATTTTTTAAACAAATAAACTTCCAGTATGTTAATGTGAAGAGATGGAATGCAGCAAATGAAAATAGAAGGGAGAAACAAAGACGCGTGTCCTAAATAAATGGGGCATAAAATCACAGGCTTGCTGAATGCAGAAACAGAATAAACGCTGGCTGTAAACGTTTAGGAGCAGGGCGTATGATGAGAATAAAGAGCGATGTAGTTCTTATTAGCATGTGCATTTGTACACTTCGTATACACTTGCCCAAAAAAGTTAAGAAACATCGTTATTTTTAATGGTTATAAAATAACTGAGCTAAAGCAAATATTTTAGGCAAATATTGAGGATAATGCAATCCACATTCGTTACACCAAAAGGATATTCCATTTTTATGCATTATTGGACCTTAATGCTTTCAGATCAGTGCTAGGTCCAGTTCTGTGGAAAAATTCTTTTTGTTCTGAGACCCTTTAATGCATCGATTATTCATACCAAGGCACTTTTCTGTCAAAGGCTGCCATATGATGTTGTTGACATTGCGTCATAAAATATTTTTTCAGCGTTAATTTTTCATCTGATATTCTCAATATTGTTCCCTTTGACTGATATATCCGAGTCACCAGAGCCTTGCTATCAAGTGTTAGTACCGTTCATATTGAGTTCTATAGTTTTAAGCGATATTCACAGAACAATGGCATTCAATTGTTAGGTGACCCAATGCGAACTTGCTCTATCGACCAGGAAAATCATACAACGGTATTGAGATTATGCGCTTTGAAATACCTTTTGTGTGGCTGCTAACGTGCTCAACACAGGCTGATGTTTTGTGCACGTGATTCAGGTGAGAAAACAAAATGCTGCATGGGAGCTTAGATTGGTTAGTTGATCCCCATCTGAGCGAGTTTCTACAAATTGGATTAAATTATTTCAGTTTTTTTAAATAAAATAGAGCAGTTATAGAAAATACTACAATACTCAGATAAGTTCCGAACCACAAAAAAAGTGGTAATATGTTTAACCGCAGTTGTATCTGGCATAACAGGGCAAGGAATCAAGTCTAAAGAATATGGTCTAATTAATTGTAAAATTGACATTTGTTATCAGGAAAAAATAGAAAACGCAAATTAATGCATCTCGATCGTGTCAATGAATTGTTCTTTGTCAGAGAAGAATTTAATCACTTGTGTTATATTATGAGAATAAAGTAAAAATTCTTCATTTTACAGCCAATATTGACAAGTAATATTACCTCAAACATTTTCATAGCTGACATAAATCGTAAACCCACCAACACAGACCAATACCTATATTGAGAGTCACACCACCCTGCTTATCAAAAAATGGGGATTGTAAGGACGATAATCTAAAGGTGAGACCTTGGTGAAGAAAAAAAAACACCAAGGCGATTGAAAGAGAGAAAGTAGAAAGAGCTCTGGGAAACTGTGGATATATATACGTAATGGGCACTAAGAGAAGGTAGGGAGATGGACAAGGGACAAAAACAGAGAAGTAACCAACCGAATGCACGTGACAATGAAGAAAAATATTTAATTAAAAAGAACAGTGTATTGTGTTATCCTCCATCGGGAGTGTCTAAAGTACAACACCAGCATGAATAACAAGGCATGTCGTGTCAGTCGTAGTCCCAAAGACACCTAATACTGCAACGAAAAATGTGGGGTAGTCTATTACGTGGAGTGTGAAGGATAAGGGGAGATAAACATACGTGTGTGTGGAACTCAGAGGCTGAGAGATAGCAGAACATTAAAAATCAATCAACAAAAGAGACAAGTTAATGATGAACCAACATCGGAAATAATCTGCAAAAAAATCAGATTGACACTGTATTGACAGTGAAAATACAACAGAAAGCCTGGAAGCCATACACATCAAGAAGACGGGGACCAGACTCAACAGAAATGATGTGGCCATCCTCCCGGACCTATACTATCCTTTTATTAAGACAGTAGGTGGGGGATAAGGAACTCCATGATAGAGGTTATTCACCTGCAGGCCCCATTCCCTAATGGAAATGCTCTAAAGACATCGAAATATTGCAGGTAACATCACTTGTAATTATAAGCTACTGACTGAAGACAAATTACTTTATGCTTTGTCCTTGGTGTTTTCAAATGAAGGACTAAAACAGATCCATCGTGTACTATTATTTTTTATCATTGCTTTATTAGTGTCAGTAGTAGTGGTGTATGAAAAGTTTATTTTGTGTAAGATGTCTCCATCTCATTTACCATTTCAAATTAGACTTACCACGTTGTACTAAATAAAGCAAAAGTTCGTGTTGTTTCGGGTTAAGACAGCTGGACATAATCGGAAACAGACACAGCTAAGGAGATAATAATCACAAGGGTTAGAGAATTCATCTTGTTACAACACGCTGAAGTGGTGTGATTTTTTATTTCTTATACAGTGAATGCAAATTCCCGTGATATTTAAATCATTGAATCATATTTTTCCAAGGTTTCTATTGCATGTGATATTGCATTTGATCGCACAATTTAAGTTAAGAAGACTAAGTATTGCCAAGGAGCAATTCACACTGACGTCATATCTTGATGAGTCAGAGGCATTCAAACCAATTCGCTCTAGAGGGGGGTTTGCTCTATTGAAACTTCCTTTGACTACGAAATTATGGGTGTCGTAGATGCGAACCATTTAAGAACCTGAGAGAAAGAAAAAGGAATTACATTTCTGTAGAGCAGTCTTTTTGTTGCAGTCCCATTTTTGGTTTAAAATGTATATAACACTAGATAACCCTAAATAACCAATGAGGCATCATTTCAGGATCATAATAAAATGACCTGCCTCAAACCAGTTATAAATCTAAAAAACGTGTTGTCTAGTTCTGTTGGGTCGGAGATGCAAAAGAGTTATAATTATTACAACATAAATAATTTACTTACAAATAGTATAAAAGGTGGGAAAAGATTACTAGAAAAGGATCTTAATTTTTTGAGCCAAGGTACTGAGTATATGTAGGACCTACTTTTCTACATTGGCTTCAAATAAACTTACAATGTTTACAATGTTTGTTTTGAAAAAAATAGTAATATATAGATGCATTAGTAGGTCATCTTAGATATAAGGTATAAGCCTCATAGTGTACCTTTAAAACTTCAAACGTTCAGCGGCCGATTTCACACCCAATTCTCGAAAAATATTCATCAAGTCAAATTCGTCTCTATTCCGCAGATAAAACCAACTTTTGCAGGTTTCCAAGTACAGTTCACGTGCTAAACTCAAGTCCTATTTTACATTAAGTCTTGAAAATGACGTTTGTCCTTGAATTCCGTGAAGAGCTTGCCCTGGGAAGGTGAATAAAATGGCGCCCGTCGAAAGTTGTCAGGTGATGTTGTTGACATAAAAAATGCTGCGTCATAAAATATTTTCGGTTTCGCACCCTCCGTGTATATTTCCAAAATCGATTCCTTTGATCCAGTAATATGCGCTATTTCTATCTTAGCATCAAGCTCTTGTGTCATATACACTTATCTGTTCATTACTAACATATCAGTTATCGAACTTTCGTGATTTCGAGCGATATTTCGAGCGATATTTGCCTTATAATAACACGGTATTGCTAGGTTGACCCAAAGTGAACTTAGTCAATTGAATCGCTTGAATGAAAGGCATGCAGCGGTATTGACATTACGTGTTTTGACAATAGAACCTTTGTGTGGTTGCTGCTGTATTCGACACAGATTGAGTGTGGAATAGCGGGTATCAATGCCTCATAAAATATATTTCAACGAGTTTGAATTTAATGAATTAAAGTAAATTAATTTCTCCTGGCTAAGATACTGGTTTCTCAGGAAGGTATAATTTTGTTGTGATAAGTAGTGCTGTGCTTGTGGCATTTAGGGCTGTATTCCTGAGCGCTCAGGCAGGAACGTCACAACTTAATGTTTTAAATTTATTATAATTGTTAAAGAAAACCTGATCAAAGTTAAATGAGAGAATAATGAGATGAGACCCCACCTTTACCCCACATACTCCCCTCCCTAACCTTCGTCCAGTTCAATTTGTATCAGTGAGTGTCGGGTCAGAGAGCTTAAGAGAAATGGTTTGTAAAAGAAGGACAGCATGAGGTAGTGTAGTAATTCATTAATTTCCTACATGAACTCTGATTTAAAAAATAAACATTTATTAATTACGTGTTTTAACTTAAAAGTTTTTAGTTTTTTAAAAGAAAAAAAGGAACAAATCTGTATATATAGTAGTCACTCATTTACACTGTATTTTTCCAAGAAGTTATAAGAGAAGGAGTAGAAACGGGACATCAATTATCTCTCTCGTCCAATCAGATCGCAGCGTTCTTTTCAAAGCGGCGTCCTTTGAAATTGGATCCTCGTAACTGGTCTAATCCCTCGCGTGGCTCAAGACGGAGAAGATGAACTAGTGCGCCTACTTCTTGATTTATTCATTTTTAATGCGAAAATTTGGAAGTTACACTTAGAAAAACGCCAAGCCGAGCGATATAAAGGTGAGTGAGACTTGATAGTATGCTTTGAGCATCGTTTTATGTGCAGACGGTGTCTGTCAGTCAAATTTGCCTGTGCAGAAACCAGTGTTAGCTCGTAGATCTGAGGCCGATTCAGCNTGCATTGTTTACATCTCGTATCTGAGTCGAGAAGCCGCGTTATTTCAAACTGTGTCAAGATGGCTGACGCCCGGGGTTCGAAAGTGGACGGTGAATATGATTCTTTTTTTCGATATTGATTAAGGCCATTTACCTGCCATTTTATGCTTTACCCATAGCAATTGTTCTCAGATAAGTTAAAAAAGAAGCAATCCATGCACTAAAAAGGCGTTTTTAATCCTATTTTTTGTCCCTTTAAGCACGTGCGCCATTACATTACATCATTGTGGTATTACATGAATCAACCCTTTAGATGATAACCATTGTTTCAAATAGACAACTTTTCATCGGACTTTTTCAAAATGGCGGGTCCCTAAATTGGTAAGAGA